GTCAGGCCACACCCCCCACAGGTTTGGGGGAGGAGGAGAGTGAACAGAGAAATGGGAGGAAAATGAGGAAGAGGGGGGGAAAAGAGAGAGGAGGGAGGAAGAGAGGGGAGGAGGAAGAGGAGGGAAAAAGAAGGAAGAAGAAGGCAGTAGGATGAGAGGAATGTGGAAGAGGAAGAGGGAGAGAGAAGGGGAGAAAGGAAGGAAAGAAGAAAAGGTGAAAGAGGAGGAGAAAGAAGGGAAGAGAGAAAGAGGAGGGAGAGAAAGAAACAGGAGGTAAACGAAAGGGGGACTGCTGGGCAGCCGAGGTTCCGGACTCCGGGGTCCCCCAGGTGGCTGGGGAGAGGTCTCCCCTGACTGCCCGCGGCGGCTCCCACTCACCGGGAGACTGGCGAGGCGCTGGTGGTGGCGGCTGTGGCGGCGGCCTGGCTGGTGGCCGAGCTGGGTACATGGGACGCGCAGGTCTCTGGGGTCCGGCTGGCGAGTGAGCGGGCGCGCGGGGGCGGCTCCAGTTCGGGGCCCAGGGAAAAAAGGCGGCCAGCCCCGCCCCGGCCAGCTCCGCCCCGCCCCCAACCCCCCCAACCCCTTCCGTCCGAAACTTTCCATCGCCAAGCGGCTCCCATGGCCGGCCAGCCCCCCGCAGATACACCCTCGCCCCCAAATTTCCAATGCCTACTCCGGAACATGCCCAATTCCTACCACCACCATCAAGCTCCCCCTACACACACACAGCTAGGGGCTCGCTAAATTACCCATTCCTTAGTTAGAGTTGGGGGAGATGGGGCAGATGGAGATTGAACCTCACAGCTAACAAAGAAAAGCACACAAAACCTCGTGGCAGGGAGGAACATTAGAGCAGAAAACTTGGAGCATTAAGGAAACTGCCCTTATTTCACAAGTGGGGAGAAGGGGACCCGGGGATGGGAAGACATCTCATCAGGGGTCGAGCCCAACTAAACTATGTTGAATATGTCCCCAAATTGGGGGGGGTGAGCCCAGAAAACCTCGATTCTTGGCTCACTGAGCTTGGGGAAGAAATTTGGGTCTACAGTGTCCCCATATCCAAAATGTGAGAGTTGTACACCTAGGACACCCAAAGGTCCTCTTAGCTCTACATTCTACATCCAAGTCATTTTCTGGGCCTGTTTCCCCATGAATAAAATGCGGAGAATACCACCTACCTCCCAGAGTTGTTATAGGGTACAAAGGACACTGAAGGTATGAGAGGGGTGGATGGACAGATAGCCCAAAACCAGTCTGCTGAGTCTGGCCACTGCTAGAGGGAAGGGGGAAGGGCTATCAGCACCCTCAGCTGTGCTGTATCAGCAGCTGATAACAGGCGTGAGAACCAGGCGCTCACAGGCAGCAACAGCGGATACTCTCACAGAAACGGGGTGGGGGCTTGCCTCTTGGAGCTATCCACCACCCATGTTCCGGAGAGCTTTGGAAAACAAATGGCCTTTGGGGCTAAAACTTTCCACACTGGCCCTAGGCCCAAAAGGTGGATTATTTTGGAAAGTCAGAAGGGTTGTGGAGGGAGGGGACATAACTCAACATTTTATTTCAAAACAACAAACATTTATTAAGCACCAACTATGTATGTGCTTGGTGCCAGCCTCAGCCTTAAGAGAACCCGTGATTGCCGGAGGAGTGAAAAGAGGGAGGCAACATCCATGGGAAGGGTTCTTCAGCTCCCTCGGGTGTAAGCATCCTTTGGGCTTGGCGCCCAGTGAGGAGGCTTTATCTCCACTGAACTGGGGGAGGGAGATGTCCATCAGGCAAACCAACTAAAACAGCTGAGCCTTCCTCAGCAGGCAGAGGACCCAACTCCTCCCCAGGGATACACTTGTGCCAACTTCTCCCTAACTGCAAGGAGTGCCTGTAATATCGGCTTCCTCAATGCTCATTCATCAATCAACTTGTTTCAGAGAGCTGGGAGGGAATCTTAGAATACACATCAGAGCTGAAAAGGACCTTAAAATGTAGAATGTCAGCTGGGAAGGACCTTAGAAACACTGGATTTCAGAGGCAGAAGGGATCTCAGAACATAGAACACAGAACAACAGAGCTGAAAGGTACCTTAGAACACAGCAAGTCAGAATTGTAAAGAAAAAAAAAGAGAAAAGGAAAAAGGACTATTAGGGTCAAATAGGTACCTTAGAAAACTAGTCCAACATTTTATAGGTGAGAAAACTGAGGTCCCCAAAGGAAAGGGACTTGTGCAAGGCCACAGCCTAAGCACAGATGTTATCCACAGACTAGACTTGGACAGGACCATGCTGGTTCTAGGATTCAGGCTTATCTTTGACCTTTGGGATCCTCCAACAGCAGGCAAATGCCGAAGTGAGAGAAGGATAAATCTGGGAGAGGGGAGAAGACCTCCAGCTCTCATGTTAGTTTAGGCATTCAACGGTCAGGCTCGGGGGCAGGGAGCCCCTCTCATTTCCGGCCTGATCCTCACCACCCAGGATGGGATGGTAGCTCAGGGGCTAGGCAGGAAGTTGGTAAATTTCCACTAATAGAGCTTTCCTCCTTCTCCAGCTGCCTGCTAATCTGCTCCCTCTCCCTGACCTTGTGAGGAGTTCGGCCTCATAAGCATGAGGAGCTGCGCCTCCAGGGCTCAGGGACTTCGGACCCACTCCTGGGCTAACCTAGCTCGGCTCCCTCCGGGGCCTATGGAGGTTTTTAAGATTTTAAAAAAGGCGAACCTCAAGCCCATTCCTGTAAGGAAAGGCTGGAGCCCAACAGCCAAGACCACTCCAGGCCTCCCTTGGAGACAACCCATAAAGCACTAGGGATCAGTACAAAGCCAACTCCAAAGGACATGTCTGAATTAGCCCAACTCAGTGGGAGATGGAAACACCCCTAGAATGGTATTTGGGGATTGAATTAAGTCCAAATGCCTCAAAGCCTGGCTTTTGAGGACTTTGACCACCTACCTTTCCAGCCTTATCTCCCTCAGCCTCCCCTCCTTTGAGCTTTGGCTCAGGACAAACTGGACAAAACTCCCTCTGTCCCCTAGAAACGTCCCCAAGCTTTCTCTCCATAGCTTTGCTTCTGGTTTCCTTTACCTGAAATGCCCCCTCGACCCCACCCCTCATCTTGGACTGACCAAATCCTCCTCAACCTTCAAAGTTCAGCTTTAATAGCCATCACTTCCAAGAAGGCTTCCCAATTCCTGCAACTAATGTGAAAATCATAGAATACCCAAAATTCAATGGACTTCAGAGATCAAGCTAACCTTTTTGATAGATGAAACTCAGGCCTAGAGAGATCTGCCCAAGGCCACACACATAGCTTGGCTATCCCTCTTAACGTGAACATACCATGATTCCTGAAGAACTGAAAGAACTCACAGAGGTCATCTGAAGGAACTTCTCACTGAGGCAGGGATGCTTTTGAGGGCAGGGAGGGGAAGGGGGATGGTACCCAGCCCCAGCTTAAATATCTCCAATTACGGAGAGTTCAATCTCCCCCCTCCAAAAAAAAGCCTATCCCATTTTCCAATGGCTGTTTGCTAAGAAGTTGGGCCCTGAATATATATGTATATATGTATACACACACACACACACACACACACACACACATATATATATTTAAATATACATATTTATAAATGGGCCCTGAATCTGCCTCTCAGGAACTTCTACCCTTAGGTCCCAGTTCTGCTGTTTGGGGTCAAGTATGAGTTTCATAAGCTTAAAACTTCCTTTTCTAAGGGTTTACAGAGGACCCCAGAATTGCGGCTAAGGAAGAAAGGAGGGCTATGGTCTTCAAGAGACAAGAAAAGCTGATCCCAAGTTTTCCCTATGGCTCACCAGCACTCCACCTCCGTTTAAGACCGCCAGTCTCTAAAGCAAAGGTTAAGTACAATGGCAGTGGGAGTGGGAAGCAAAAGGCACCACATATTGGGATGAGCAATCTGGCTGTGCTGTGCTCACCGACAATGGGGCTCTGGGGGCCCAGGCAGATAGCAAGGGCAAAGGTTAAGGTTTATGGAGGCAGGGTTCGTGCATGAAGATAGGAGAGTCCTGGTCCTGGTCTGTCTTTGCCAGGTGCAAAAACAGTGACACTAAATACAAGTTACCAGATTTCTCTAAACCTGTTTGTTTCCATGTAAAAAGGAGAATTCCTGCAAGGCTTTCCCCTCAAGGGTCCTTGTGAGGAAACCACTTTGTAAGCAGTCAAGTGCTGGAAAATGGTAGCTATTTCTGGAAATTTCATCCTGGCTCTCCAGTGACCTTCCCCACTCCACCCCCAAAAATCTTGGGAACCACTCCCCCTTCCCCACCCACCCCCCAGCACTGGTAATTCAGTTTTTCATCTCTGCCTGCTCTTACCCACTCCTAGCCCAACAAATGATTCCTGTGGCTTTTCTTAGAATTCCCTCTAGCTGGTTTCTTTGTGCCCTCCAGCCTTGGCAGGAGGAAGCCCCACAATGGGCCCTGGGCAACAAGGAATTACTGAGCTGAGAGGTGCTAGAAGGCAGATATGATTAACCCTAGTGGCAAGACTGACAGGAGTAACAGGAAAGATTGAAGGAACTAGGGCCCACAGAAGGAAGCTTTGTCTGATCCCGAGAAAGGCTTGGAAGCCCCTGCTAGGAAAGCAGGACAGACTGTGGGCTTAAGTGACCTGGGTGCTAGCCTGGGTTTCATCCATTAACTTGTTCTATGCTCTCAGGTAAGTTACTTGTTTCTGGGCCTCAGTTTCCTCAACTATAAAAGGAGGTTGGATTAGATGCTTTCTTAAGGTTCTGCTGCTGCTGCTGACATCCATCACATTCAAATGCCCCTTCTCGATCCGATAAGGTGCACATATTCCCCTTTGTTCTTAAAACTTCTGAATGGTCAGTTTGGGCCCAGAGCCCTCCTCAGGTTGAGAAAGAAAGGAGTTGATGTCCTTTCAAGAGGCAAAAGACAACTGCTTTTGGCACCAGAGGGCACTTGGGAAGAGCTGGCAGATTCCCCTCCAGCGTTTCAAATAAGAAACTAAACCACAACTTTTTCTCTTCAATACAGTGAATTTTATTGTATGTTGCAAAATCAGCATTCACCTTTTCAGTGTACAAAAAGGACACTAGCTCTTTAAGAAAACATTAGGAAAGCTGAAGACTAGGCAGCCTTTCAATTGTAACATTTTGGCAAACTTGAAAGCTTTTGTAAACTCCAACTCCATGGCTCAAAATCGGTTTTCTCCACAGTACAATATTACAAAGTAGAAACACAGTATCAATAAGTTAGATCATACGGAATCACCTAGAACTGGTTTATATTAACCCAAATAGCACAGATTAACTTAGCTTCATAATCCCTTAAAAGAAAAAAAAAACATAAAAAGGCAGGTCTGACTACAATGTCTTGTGACAGTCTGAAAGAGAAATGAAGCAAGAGTCACTGAAGGCTAATTGGGTCTCACAGTTTTGAATTCATTAAATATTTCTGTTTTATATTCCAATTCTCTAAGTTCCAGAATATACATGTAAATGTATATGACAAATCTCTGTATACAACTCTGTCTGCAAAAATATCCTTATAGCAGATGTAGAAAGACTAAGGTCTTTTCATATACGTTACCCACCCCACCCACCCCCAACAGCAAATCAAAATTCCAAAGCCTGCTGAAGTGAGCGGGAGTGAATGCTGGTCAGTGTGCTTCCATGAAGAATCTACAGCCATATGGTACAGGCTCTGAAGTGATCCAGGCAGTCTCAGGAAAGGGGGTGAGGGGGAAGAGAAGGGTGGAGGAACACTCAGGTCAACCTGTTTCCACCAAATGACACCAGCTCTTTGGAAGCAGTAGTTGGAAAAGATCCTCCCTGCCCCCTGACTCCTCCCTAACAAGGTCAGTAGCAGCTGTCTGGGAACCACCTGTCTTTACAACTTGTTTTGGCAGCAACCTCCCAAATGCCTATGACTGGACACACCCTGACCTTGGCTGGGTACCTGAACACAAATCTTTCTTACAGCCTGGGATGTGCCCTTTGGACACCCTACCCTAAACCCAAATACAGGCGTAATCTTTAAGTACCGTGCCCAGTGGGCAAGGCCCACCTAGCCCACCGGAAGGTTCTGCTCCAGGGGAACTTGGACACCACAGAACCTTAGTACTACCAGTCAGAGCTTGCCAAAGAAAATTATGAAATGACCACAGCACTCCGGTTCAACCTACACCGGATCAGGGTCTGCCCCCAACATGGGGGGTCATGAAGTTTTCAAACAAGGCCTCTCAACACCACCATGCCTGTCTGGGAAGTTCCCTCACACTTCAGTGAATTCTATTCATTTGTGCTAAGAAAGCAGTCTGGAGTCCTCAAAGCGGAGCCATCTGCCATGGAGCGAACCTCAATGCAAGCCCATCTGGGGGAAAAGACATCCTTCTCCAACTTCAGGATGCCTCTGCCTATCCGGTTCCCTGTGGCCTGCCAGCTGTTCTGGCATACTGTGTGCAAGTTTATTTGGCTAGGATATTGTTGGGTAGATGCAGCAGCCTCTTCCACTGACAACTGTCAGCTCAATGATGCTGGATACTCCAGCACCTCCCTCCTTTCAATCATATCCAGGTCAAATCTCGACATGCTATTGAGTTGAGCTTACTGTGAAAAGGTTCACTCTGTCTCAGTGTTCAGACAGCCAGAGGGCTCGACACAGAAATCCACTATCAGTTTTGACTGTATCCAATCTGAAGGGTATGCTCCTGCTAATGCAGGTTTCCTATCTGGGGAAACTAGAGAATGCAGATTACCACTCTGAATGAATCCCAAAATAGCCAAGTAGCCATCCGCAGTGAAGGGCAGCCCCAGTGAAGCAGGCATGCCTGAGGACATGGGAAGAGCGAGGGGGGCAGCTTCTCAGGTGGCCATCTGGTACAGTGCCAGGTCAGGGAGGGAGGGAGTTGGGGGAACTGAGCTGGACACAAAGGAAAAGGAGGGGCTATTTCCAGGCAACAGATTCCCCTAGAGAAGGAACTTTCTAGTGCAAAGAAACCCTCACCAAGCAGGTGAAAGACTGGAAGGAGGAATACTTTGGGGTACTCAAAGAAAGAGAGAGGGAAGGAATTAAGGAGGTAAGCCCAGAGACTTAACAGAGGTGGGGAGGTGGGGGCCCTGCCCCCAGGGCTGAGTTCCCAGCGGTTCCCTGAAGACCTGTAAGGCAGGGCTCAGAGTCTGGAACAAGAATCTTGGGAGATGGACAACTCAATTGATCTCAGCCAGATCTCGTTCTGTTCCAAGAGCTGAGGACCTGCCGCTTCTTTGGAAGGGGTCAAAACCAAAGCCCCCAACTCTAAATATACCTCCAGCTGCTTGCATTTCTTTTTACAGGGCATCACCAAAATAATAATAATAATAATGATAATAATGCCACTATCGATTTAGTAATACTGCAATTAGAACAAAAGAAAGGGATCCAGACCATTGGCCCAAAAGGGAGGAGAGGCACGGATTTAGAAAAGATGCATTTTCTCTCATACAAAAATAGACCATCGTCTCATTAGCAAGGAATAAAATTGGCCATCTTCATATAAAACTAGAAAAGTTGGACAGACATCTCAGAGTCCTCTGGGACAGTGGAGACAGCACGCACAATGCAGGCTGAAGACAGGTGCCAGTCACCAAAGGAGAGGTGTTCCAAGGACTGGTCTCCCAGGGCCTAGGGCCGGCAGGAGCATTTTCCAATAGTAAACATGAAGCTGAACCCTGGGCCTGGGCCCTCTGAGAAACCACCCAGTGAGATGGCTGGAGAGACGCCTGCTCAACCCATGGGGCTCAGGAGCTGATCCTGTGCAAGGCGCCCAGACAGCTTGCATATAAAGAAGATGCTTTTTAGGCTGGTGACTGGGCCCCAAAAATGCGCCCCCCCAGTGGTGCCCCCATTACCTGGGGGGGAAAGCAGAAGAACCAGAGGATCATAAGCAGCCCAACCAGGGGCTGACAACCTGCTACTCACTCAATCCTATGGAAACCATGGAGTTCCCCTGCATGTTTTCCTCTGCAAGTTAATGAGTGAGTTTTCCTTTTATTTATCTACTTTTTGCTAAATAGATACATTTTTCTTTTCTTTAAACCTTCCCCTGTTCCCCACACACACCAAAAGGGTGAAGCTTGAAATGCCTGTGGCCCAGCAAGAGGCAGTTCAGCACAGTGGCAGCTCGGGAGCTGCGGCCAGCCACAAGTCCACCCCAGGCCCCAGTGCTCCCCAGCACACAGGTCACTGCCAAGGCTGGAGCTGCCGCTGGTCATACTCTGCTATCAGTTTCTTGATGTGAGCCAGTTTGTTGTGTAGATATTCACAACGGTACTTTTCTTGGCTGTAGTTAGTATTAGTCTGAAAGAGATTAGGGAGAGAATACTAAGAACATCTCAGTGATGGTCGGGGCGGGGCGGGGGTGGGGGGGAGATTTCCTGGCCATAGAGAAGTTTGGGTCTGGAAGCAGGGAGGACAACAGGCTAGCTGACAAACTCAGCCAGGCCCAGAGAAGCCCTTTACCCCTTCTGGGCCTCCAAAGGCCCTTCTGGCTCTCGGATTATTCTAAGTCACCAAGTCTCTGAAACTCATTTTACCTTTAAAACAGAGATGATGATGATGATGATGATGATGATGATAACAACAGCCAGCATTTAAAGAGAGAGAGAGCTTTAGAAGTTTGTGAAGCACTTTACATGAGTTATCTCATTTCATCCGGTGAGGTAGGTGCTATTATTATCCCCACTTTACAAATGAAGAAACTGAGATGTTCAATGAGATGCCAGGGTCACAAAGGCACTCAATGTCTAGGGTGAGTTTTGAACTGTGGTTGTGTTTTCCTGACACCAAGTCCAGCACAATCATCCATGCACCAATTAGGATAATATGGACACTCCCCACCTCATCAAATTTTTGCGAGGAAAGTGTCTTGTATGCAGCAGCTATCCAATGTTGATGAATTTAAAGGCCACAGGAAAATATATTTTGCATGACTTTACATGTATAATCAGTATCATATTGCTTGCCTTCTCAAGGGGTGAGTGAGGGAAGAGAATTCAGAACTGAACATTTAAAAAATGAATGTTAAAAGTGAATAAATGATGCATTTATTAAAATAAAATTTTAAAAAGTTTAAAGGGCACAGAAAGCCCTAAGGTCCTATGGAAATGGAGATGAATTACCTCCTCTTAGCTCCATCTGTGAACTGCACTTTAAGGGCCCCTTGAAAACAGAGAGTCCTGGCATCTCAGGGCTGGAAAGGGGCTCAGAGGAGGTCCTAACATGAGCCCCTTTATACCCACTGACGCCGCACAAGGGTGTGTGCTTGAGGACTTCTGGTGAAAGAGACTCCCTTGCGCTGAGGCAGGATTCCAGAGACACAAATATCTTCTCCTTTTGTCAGGGTAGGCAATAGTATTCTTTATGGCAGAAGAGGAACATGGTGGCCAAGGCCACAGCCACCATGTCAGTGGCTGAGCCCTACAACCTGAAATGGGCATTCCCCATCTACCAGTGTGCCTTCCAGCAGACTCTACTCCTACCAACTGTCTTTCGCATCAGCTCCCATCCTCAAGGACCGTCTCTCATAACTTCCTTCAGAAGGCTGGGACAGCAAAAAGAGAGCTTGCTTAACTTTTCCTTCATTTTCCTGCTATTCCCTTACAAATCTGGGTCTTCACATAAAACAGACCCTCAGGCAGCAGAAGGAGCTCTTTTTACCAAAGAAACCCTAGTTTCCTCAGAAAATCATAGGAAAAAAACCTCTTATTTTTATACAGGATTTACAAAACACGTCAAAATTTTACCTCTGAAATGTATAAAATGAGAGATGCTTTGGGTCCCTACACATTCAATGACATCTTTGAGATGATTTGAGGGAGGCTGGGCAGAGGGAAGGAATGTGCATAAAGAATAGTCTCAAAATATCACAACAGGGCTCTGTGTGTGTGTTATGGGGAAATCAATAAAATGACAGTTTACCTTTCTATGATGCTTTACAGAAGCCCATTACAGTGTCATGCAGTGGAAAGACTGGAGGTCAGACCACCTAGATCAGATTCTCAGCTGTGCCATTTAATAGCTGTGTGACCTTGAGTAAAATACTTCCCCTCTCTGAGCCTCAGTTTCTCTATCTGTAAAATGGAGATAATTATATTCATACTATTTAACAGGGTGATATTAGTAAAGTTTTTATAAATCTTAAGATGTCATATAAATGTGAGGGATTGTTATTAGGGAAAAGTCATATTGATATAGAGAGCTTAGGGCAAGATTCTTAAACCTTTTTTGTGTCACAGACCCTTTTCTCCAAATAAAGTTTTTAAATGGATAAAAATAAAATAAACATAAAGGAAGCCAACTATATTGAAAGAGAGTTGTTAAACTATTTAAAAGCCAGTTCATGGACTTTTAAGCCAGGTTAAGAGCCTCCTGCATTTTCGTGGGAGACCGGGGGTAAGTCTGTGTGAGGAGGGCTACAGATGTGTTTGATGGGAGAGGTGAAAGAGTAGACAGCAGAGGGCAGTGGGGAGGGATGAGGAGTTCAGGCTCACGCTGTGCTCACTGTGCCACTGCTATCTCACAGAAGATATTTACAACCTCTTACTTCCAAGAGTATATCAGTAAGGTCAGTAAGCAAAAAACTGTGGGCCGTATATCACTGCTTACCCTTCTGCTACCAAAGTGTTTTCCTGCACTTTCATTTAAGGGATCACAGATCCTCACAATGATCCCAAGAGGAAGGCAAGAACAGGATGATTATCCCCATTTTACAGATGGGGAAATTGAAGTCCAGAAAAAAGGTCAAGGTCACATAGCTAGGAAATGGCTGCCCTCGGCCTTAAGCACCCACCGTAAGACTCCGTAAAGCTCTCTCTGGTCTTCTTCTCCCCCATGGCACCGTCTTTCCTTCCCTGGAAGGTGTACAGCACTTTGAACCTCTCTTCTGTGCTTACATTCTGGTCTGTATTGAGATGATTTACTTCTGTAACTATCTCATCTCCTCCCTATCACCACCAGCTCACTGAGAATGCCTAGGCAAGATGTGCTGTGTCTCAGGGCAAGGCAGCACACACGTGCTGCAAGGCACAGAGTACTGGGCTGCAGGTCAGAAGGCCCGAGGCCAGGCAGGTCCCTTAGCCTCTTTGCATGTCAGTTTCCTCACCTGTACAATGAAGGATAATAATCAGATGACCTGTACATGAGAGCCCTGTGTAATCTGTCAAAGTGCCAGACAGACTGTTATCTTTGGGTATCGCCATCTCTGGATGTACTAAGTGCATGCACAGGAGGGAGCACATCTGCTGAAGGGAATACAAAGGGCATTTACCCACCTTTTTGATTTTCCAATATTCTTGTAAAATCTGACCACGGGTGGTCTGCAGAGAGAAAGAAACCCAAAAGAATGTGAGCCATTGCTATAGCTACATGATGGTGCCCTTCAGGCTTCTGTCCATGAGTGGCCTCAGTCAGGGACCAATAGCAGAAAAGCAATCCCCAAGGCTGACCCACTGTTTCCACTTTAAAGTGTACCCTAGGCACAAATGACCCACTAAAAGACCAATCACATAAAGTCAAACCAAGGAGCCCAGGAAAAGGAATTTAAGTGAGGAAAAGTAAAAGGCAGCTGGAGAAAGGGGAAAGGCAAAATCAGGGGAAGCTCACACTGCTACTCACAATTCCATCAAGAGATGGACATCTGGCCAGAAATTCAGCGTAACACGTGTTGGGAAGAAAAAATGAGTTCTACTACATTCATTTTCCATGGCCTGCATTTCTTCTCTTAATACCTTTGCTTACATCATCATTCTCAACACCTAAAATGGCCAACTCTTTTTTCCATCTCTGCCTGCTAAATTTCCTTCAAACCAAGTCCATGCTCTCCCTATTCCCCTCAACTAGCAGGGATCTCCTCCTCTTCTGATCTGACAGCACTCACCTTCTAATTTGCTTCTAGTTACGTCTTATCTTCTCCACTGCACCATAAGCTCCTTGAGGGCACTGTCTCAATTCATTTTTTGTCTCTACTCAGTGCCAACAACGGGGCTTTGCACATAACTTGTATTTTGAACATATGAAGTCACTAAGGCCTCTGGGAAATAAGCAGTTAGCATAGCTGGCATTTCCATTGATTGTCTGACTTAAACAAGGCTTGTGGGTCATACAAAAGAGCCAGGTTCAACCGCACTTGGCACGTATTAAAGCTTCCAATCAAGGTAATTAACTCTGAGCAAGAAGTCTAAACAGAAGCTACAATTTGCTGGACAATTTGCTAATTGTTCTTCCCTCAGGAACATCAGTAGAGTTTAGTCAACTGAGCTGTGGGCCCCTGGCCTTGTTCCTCACACTTCCCAGCATCTACAATTAATAAATCAGTTCTCCAAATGTCTAAATGATCCAAATTAAACGGACAGAGAAGTAGCAAATACATAGGTGAACAAATCTGGAACTGAGACAGTCAGTGATACCTCATACTCTTCTGAACCTTGGGAAAGCTGTTTGAGCTCTGCATCCAGCTGTGTGAACCGTCGTGTTATTCTCTCTATCCGTGCATGCAAATCTCGGTACTCGTTGTATTCAGCGTTAAAATCATTCTTATAACTTTGACGTTGTTCCGAGGAGGAAATGGCAGCATATTTTCTGAGAAAGGCAGAGAGAGAAGTTTTAGCACAGGCTGCATTAGCCAGAGGCAGGCAGAACTTCAGGGACAGGAATATCACTTGCTTCAGTGACAGTAGGATCAGCTAGTGAGGGACCTCCAGATTCCTGAAATATTCAGATACTATTTCAATAAGATTATCAATTCCCATTTCTTTGAGTTGGGGAGGATGGACCAGTATTATGTTCAGAGAGGAAGAAACAAGCTAAGAAAGGGAATGTGATTTGCCCAACATCAGGACTTGACTCAAGGCTTCTGATTTCAAATCCAGAGCTCTTTCCACTACACCATGATTCTGAGGCTCTAACACCCACCTACCCACGCACACACCCCTGTAGCTATAAGCTGTGGCTTGAAACATCCAATTAATCTCATATAGTCAATTTCCTACTTTAAATAGGAGACAAATGCAGAACAGGTTGAACTTCCTGAAATTCATACACATACGCATTTTATGACATTTCCTTCTTCAAAAACTTGCCAATTCTATTGGGAACAGATAGAATTTTTACATTTTTCTCTTTCCTACTACGCATGATTACAACATATGCATCTGAACAAGCAGAAATAGGAGAAAACGTGACATCTTAAGTTTCCTGTGCCACTATTTCATAGGCGAAATTTTTTAAAACCAAATTTGGTCTTGGGGTGAATACAGAAATTGGTCTGTGACAAGAAGCCCACACAAGTGTGACCTAGCTTACATAACCAAATGGATAGTCTGCAAGTCTTAGGCTCTAATCGGTCACACGTTCTCAGATCTGAAAATAACGATGGAAGTTACTCACAACAGATAATCCGGCATTTCCGAAGTTGATGTTGGAACGCTAGAATTATTGCATGTTCCATTTAAACCTACAAAGAATAAGAACACTTCATGAAAACAACAGTCTACAAAGCACTATCAGAGCTATACCTTCAGAAATGTATGTGCAAGAACCATTAACAATACAAAACCATATTTTGAAGGAGTGTTTTTATATTTTGTGACTTGTAAAATGCACAGGGGTAGGATATAGGACTAGGGGCACTTGAAACTGAAAGACCAGGCTGAAGGTCACTGAACTAGCAGATATAGAAATTCTTTGGTGTATTCCACACTCACTCAACTTAGAATCATAACATATCAGAACCGGAAGGGAGCTTAGAATACAGAGTTGGGAGAGCAGAGATGTCTGTCAGAGTTGGGGGCCCTATACATAATCTAATTTAACCTCTTCAATTTTGGAGAGGAGAAAACAGACCAAGAGTCAAGTTAAGTCAACAATCATTTATTAAGCTCCTTCTATGAGCCAGGTACTATGTTAAAGTGGAGATAATCTCAGAAGGTAGGCACTAAAATTGAGGAAGACCAGGAAAAGCTTCTTGAAGAAGCAAAGTAAAGTGATTTGCAATCAATGCAACAGAAAACATTCTCTCCTATTTTTTCACTGATTGAGAATATTGCTGATGTCTATAGCAGTAATTAAAAAAAAAATCCATTCCTGGTGAATTGCAAAACAAATTAAAACACTCCAGATAGGCAAAGGGAATAATGAATGTGTGACTGCCCCATATGAAGAGCCAGAGTTACAGTTCAAACAAAGATTGCTGAATGATGTTTCATCCCATTTCTGGATGTCATTTTTTCAGTGTTCGGTTGGAAAGTCACTCTCATTACCCATAGGAAACATGAACTACACATCCGGAATTGAAATACAAAGTCACTGCTAGAGCTCACAGCTACTTTTAAAAGGTATCAATGAGTGAATTCTAACCATGCGTATTAACTATTTCTTTCCCCATTGGTGCTTGGAGGACATCACCTTGTTCCTGCTTTCCCTAGAAAAAGACATGTGATCCCGTGCTGTCATTTGGAGAACCAGTTAAGTGCAATGTGAGTCCACAATGGACTGAAGGCATGTTAGGAGTAAAGGCAACGTAAGGAAAGTCTACTGACTCCAGTACAGACACTTACACAGCTGCAAGGACATAACAGATGCTCTTAAACACCTAGTGCTAAAAGGGACTTTGCAGGTCATAATTTCTATTTATATAGCGCTTTAGGTTTGCAAAGCATTTGACCCCAGGACAAACAACTTGCCCAGGGACACAAAGCTTGTGTCACTCGGGCAAGGATCTGAACACGGATCTTCCTTATTCAAGGTCTAGATTTCTATCTACTATACTGCACTCTCATCCCCACTACTTGAAATAGGCATTCTTTCTATAACATTTCCCACAAATAGATAGCCAGCCTTTTCTTGAACACTTCCAGTGACAGGAAACTCACTATCCCCATGAAGCAGGCAACTGGCTCCACTTTCAGAGACTGTTAGGAAACTCTTTTCCATATTCAGTTGAAATCTGTTTCTCTGTAATTTCCTCCCATTAATTCTAGCATTGTCTTCTAGGACCACACAGAACAACTCTGTTACATCTTCCCCAAAGAGTTGATAAGAACTATAATGCTCCTCTTTTCCTGGAGCTTTCTCCTCTTTAGGATAAATATCCCCAGCAGTCTCTTTAACCAATCCTAGTATGGCAGATCATACCATGAGGATGGGTCCCTCCTATGATTGATACCTTTCAGACTAATTCTAGTTTGTCAAAGTATTTTCTAAAATATGGTCCCAGAAGTAAACACCATAATCCAGCTGTGGTTTGCAGAATATGGCAGGATAGTCACCTAACTTGCTATAGACATGGCTCCATTAATGCTATTTAAGAATGTCTGAGGGGTTTTTGGATAATATGTCAAGTTACTGACTCGTGTTGGCCTTGCATTTCACCAGTCAAGTCAATTAATATTATTAAGCAGGCTAGGCACTGTATAAACACTGGGGACACAAACAGAGGCAAAAAACAGTCCCTGCCCTCAAGGCATTCACAATCTAATAGGAGACAAACTAACAAATATGTACTAACAAGCTATTTACAGGATAAATAAGAAATAATTAAAAGAGGGAAGGCTCTAGAATTAAGAGGGGTTGAGGAAGGCTTCCAGTAGAGAACAGATTTTAGTTGGAACTTCAAGGGAGCCAGGGAGGTCATTAATTGGAAATGAGGAGGGAGAACATTCCAAGGCATGGGAGACAGAGTGAAAATGCCCAGAGATGAGAGATGGAGTATCTTGTTTGTGGAACAGCAAAAGTTACTGAATCAAAAAGTACATGGAATAAGGAATAAGAAGACAGGAAAGGTAGGAGGTGAGTTGGTTATGAAGGGCTTTGAATGTCAAACAAAGGATTTTGTATTTGATCCTGGAGGCAACAGGGAACCAATGGAATTTGCTGAAATTCGGGGAGAGGGGGAAGTGACAAGGTCAGAACTGCCCTTCAGGAAAATAACTTTGGGCTGAATGGAGAATGGATAGAAGTGAGGAGAGACTTGAGATAGGCAGACCCACCTGCAGGCTATCACAGTGATCCAGGCTTGAGGTGATGAGGCCCTGTACCAGAGGGGTGGCAGAGTCAGAGGAGAGAAGGGGGCATATTGGAAAGATAGTGCAGAGGTGGAACTGATAGGCCTTCGCAACAGATTGGAAATGGGGGGTGAGGGCCCATGAACAGCTGAGGCAGTTGGAAACTCGAAACTGGACAGCAGAGGTTAAGGCAGGATAGGTAGACTGGAGAACCATCAGCATAATGAATCTATGGATAATCTACTGATAATGAAATCTATGGGAAATGATGAGATCACCAGATGAAGTGAAAGAGGAAGAAGAAAAAAGGACCCAGGACAGAGCCCTGAGGGACACCTATGGTTAGAGGGCATGATCTGGAGGAGGAAATAATGACAACACACAGAACAACAACCACAACACACTGCACTAAGTGCTTTAATTATTATCTCATTTGTTCCTTACAACAACCCCTGGAGGGAGGTACTGCTATTATCTCCATTTTGCAGATGAGGAAACCAAGGCACACAGAGGTTAAGCTATTAAGTGTCAGAGGCTGAATTTTGAACCGAGGTCTTCCTGACTCTAGCAGACAGGTGGTAAAGTGGTTAAGAGTGCTGAGCTTGAAAAAAGACCCACGAGTTCAAATCTGGACTCAGACACTTACTAGCTGTGTGACCATGGGCAAGTCACCTTACCCTATTTGCTTCAGTTTCCTCATGTGTAAAAGGAGCTAGAGAAGGAAATACCAAACCACTCCAGCATCTTTGCCAAGAAAACCCCAGATGGGTTTACAGACAGTCAGACACAACTGAAACGATTCAACAACAATTTCCTGGGCTTTATCTACTGTGCCACTTAGCTGCCTCTGTTCTAGCAAAGGAGACAGAGAAGAAGCAGTCAGAGAGGAAGGAGAACCAGGAGAGAGAAGTGTCCTGAAAACCTAGAGAGGAGAAAGTATGAAGGAGGAGAGAGTAATCCACAGTGTCAAAGACTGCAGAGAGGTCCAGGAGAATGAGGACAGAGAAAAGGCCACTGGGTGTGGCAACTTGGTAACTTGGACAGAGCAGTTTTGGTGGGATAAGATCAGAAGCCAAACTGTAAGGAGTTAAGAGAGTGAGAGGAGGGAAAGTAGAAGCACCTATTGTAGATGGCTTTTTTGAGGAATTTATCCACAAAAGGTAGAAGAGCAATAGGAAGACAGTTATGTGCTTAAGCACAAGGGGTGGAAAGATCAAGTGATGGTTTTCTGAGGATGAGGCTGACATGGGCATGTTTGTAGACAGTAGGAAATGAGCCAAAAGAGTGAGAAAGACTGAAAATTAGGGACAGAGTCAGGATGACAGAGCAGGGTAATATACTGGAGACAGGAAGGAATGAGAGTCCGTTAAGCAGGTAGAAGGGTTAGCCTTGGTAAGAAGTAAGCCCACCTTATCATGTGAGACAGGGATGGGGAAGGAGAAGGTAGCGGAAGGCACCTGAGTGAGGTGAGATGAGGAGAAGGGGGAGCTCACAGGTGAATGGACTCGATTTTTTCTATAAAATATGAGAGGTTCTCAGCTGAGAAGGAAGGGGACCATGGGAGGTTTGAGGAGGGATGATGAGGTTTGGAAGAGGCAGTGTGGAGAGAGTCAGAGAGGGAGCTGATATGGTGAAGGCTCAGTTGAGGTTGTGTAACATAAAACTGTAGCAGGCCCAGTCTGCACAGTTGTGCCATTTTCTCCATCTACATCCAACAGCACATGTGTAGAGTGGATGGTGGGAGACAGCTGAGAGGTCAAGGCCCCTCAGGAGGTCGCAAGTGGCTGAAGAGGAGGGTCTGGTAAGGGAAGTCAATAGATTATGATCAGATAAGGGGATTTCAGAATTCTTCAATGTGGGAGTGATGCATTTGTGAGTGATGGCAAGAACAAAGGTATGATCATCTTTGTGTGGGGGGTGGGGTGGAGGAGTAAGTCCCTGGGAAGTGAGTAGATGGAAGAAGTGAGCAGTTAGGATGTTTGATGGAGAGTCAAGATGTATGTTGAAGTCCCTTAGTACAAGGGCAGGACTTGGGGAGGAGAGAAAAATTGTAAGCCAGGTATTAAACTCAATGAAGAAGGAAGGGGAGTGACACAGAGGTCTGTAGATAACAGCTACCAGGATTCTGATTGAGTGGTAGGTGTGAGCAATATGGACTTCAAAGGAGGAGAGGTTATGGAGTGAAAGAGGTAGAAGGAAAACCTGGAAGTGGCAATGGGGGAGCAAGAAGAATTCAGAGTGAACAGAGGGGAATAAGTGAATGTACAGCCAGCACTGGAAAGTGTGGGCAGGGAGGCTGTTTCCCTGGGATGGGGGGCCCGGGGAGAAGCAGGAAGCCAAGTTTCAGTGAAAGCTAGAAGATAAAGGAGTGGGAGAAGAAAAGATTTAGGATGAAGCGAAGATTGTTACCTAAGGAACAGGTATTCCAGAAGGCACAGTGGAAGGGACAGGTGGCATCTGGTTTGAACTTTGGAGTGAGAGGGTTGAAGGGGATACAAATAAGAGATCAGAGAATAGGGAATGAGGTTTGTATGATGACCTACAAGGGTTTAGAATCACTGGGATTTTTTCACATGAATGATGACACAAATATTAATTATTATTGCCACCATATTCCCTATTGTGTATTTATGTAGTTTATTTTTTGAACCCAACTAATATCTCATCTCACTGGAATTAGCCCATTAGTACAGACTACTCATTACTACTTCTAAACTAAAGTACAATACACCAATGGGGACTGAGTTCTAAGTTTCTATGACAACTATGGGCCTGTCATTTGGTTTCATGATTAGTAGAGCAAAGACATGGAAACTTTCTTTTTTTCTTTTTTAATTTTTTTGGTTAGGCAATGGGGCTAAATGACTTGCCCAGGGTCACACAGCTAGTAAGTGTCATGTGTCTGAGGCGGGATTTGAACTCTGGTCCTCCTGACTCCAGGGCCACGGGCTCTATCCACTGTACCACCCAGCTGCCCCTGGAAACTTTCTTGATTGTAATTTGTGAAGGTAAAGGAAGGCATCAGTTTCGTCAGAAAAATCTAATGCTTTTTTCTCTTTCTGTGGGAACAAAGCTCTCTATTTGGTCCCACACGCTCACCTACCAATTCTTAGAGATTACAAATCCTCCTCAGCTGGTATAATAATGTTGATAATAACTGACCTTGACATGCATTGTTATATACACATAACATCCACCCGGGGCAGTGAGTGTGTGGGCACCCCCTGGGAAGCAACCCTGGACAATAAGGAAGTAGCTATGAGGAGCCACCAAGAACTCCAATTTGCTCTGCAATGTAGAGAAATATGCTTCCCTGACATAAACCAGAGAGGTCTTCACCTCTCTAAATCAAAAGGCATTTTGCAGGAACACAGGACTTATAGTTGGAAGGGATCTCAGTGATAATCTTATCCACTCACCTCATTTTATAGGGGGAAACAGATGCAAAGTGAGGAAAAGATTTGCCCATGACCAAACACATTACATTAGAAACAGAGACACAGGATACACCCAGGTCTTTTGACTCCAAATCCAGGATTCTGTGCTTTTCATAAAGAAGGTGACAGCATTTTACTTAGATGAGAATGGCACCTGTCTTGGAGTACCAGTTTTAGCACCACAAGTTTACAGACTATCAGAATTGAGGCCACAGAGATCAATTAGTTCAATCGTCTCATTTTACAGATGAAGCAATGGAGGCTCACAAAGGCCTTGTCAGGCAGGATCACCAAGTCAGTCAGTTAATTTCAGAGCTGGGACCAGAACCAAAGTCTCCCAACTCTCCCAGGGAAGTTGTCCTTTTACAATGTTTGCCAGGAGGGCTCTACCTCAAAAACCATTCTCCCACACATTCTATTAATTGGAGATTCATTTGAGCAAACAAGCTCTTCTTTTGAGATGCTAGTATTTTCTGAAAAGTTTAAGTCTTCCTACATGTGTCTGTGCCAAATGCATGGTAATGTACATATTACTCTATCTTTAGGAAGAGGAAATTGATTCAATCAACAAACATTTATTAAGTACCTATTAAATGCCAAGCCCTGAGCTAATACCAAGATAACAGCAAGCAAGTGATGGTCTCCAGAAGCTTCCATGTACACATATAAATAACTATAGAAACTCATTCCCCTCTGTTCACTCTGAATTCTCCTTGCTCCCCCATTGCCACTTCCAGGTTTTCCTCCTACCTCTTTCACTCCATAACCTCTCCTCCTTTGAAGTCCATATTGCTCACACCTACCACTCAATCAGAATCCTGGTAGCTGTTATCTACAGACCTCTGTGTCACTCCCCTTCCTTCTTCAATGAGTTTAAAACCTGGCTTACAATTCTTCTCTCCTCCCCAAGTCCTGCCCTTGTACTGAGGGACTTCAACATAGGTCAGAGGTAACTAACAAGTTGGGGGATGGGGAGGAAGAGGTCAGGAAAGGCCTTCTGTAGGAGGTGGCCCTGGAGCTGATCCTGAAGAGGATCAAAGACACACAGAGAGACCAGGGATGAAGAGTAGCAAGCAGGCCAATGTGGCTGGAGCCCAGAATGACGGGGTCCGGAAAGATATGCCGGAGTGTAGGTGGGTGAACTGTGAAAAGGGCAAAGGAAGAGCAGCAGCAGATCCGTCACACAGCTTGGCCTCTGGTTCACAGAGGCCCTCTTCCCAGTTGCTCCTCATCCTTCCCTCTTTAAAACCTTAACAGCTTCTTTGGACTGTCCAATGCCAGTACCCTTTAGTACCCATTTCTTTCACAGATTCAGAGAGCCTCAGAGCTTGAAGGGAATCAAATTCAGTACATAACTGAGCAAATGTCTCTCTACAACATCCTTGACAAGTGGTCCAGGGAAAGTGACTGTGCCACCTCCCAAAGGCTGCCCATTCCACCTTCAGGCAGCCCTGAATGTTCAGCATCTTTATCTTTTCTTTTTCTTCTTCTTCTTTTTTTTTTTTTTGCTTTTTTTTGACGAGGCAATCGGGGTTAAGTGATTTGCCTAGGGTCACACAGCTAGTAAGTGTCATGTGTCTGAGACTGTCAGCATCTTTTTCTTAAAGCGATCTGGAATCTACTTGTCTCAACTGCCCTCCACTGCTCCCAATTCAGCCCTCTGGAGCAACAGAAAATTAATAAGCTTTTCTCATCAGGTCCTTGAAGACACTGATTATGTAAAATACACATACAATATATTCTCCTCAAGCTAAATATCCTTTCTGAGAAGGATCCGATACTGGAGGTCAGTTCTGACCAGGGTGGAAGGTAGCCAAGCAATTCCCTCCCAGGTTCTGGCTCTAAGATTCCAGCAGTTTTTGGAGGACAGCATGGCACGGCTGACTCACACACTAGGCCTGCAGCCTACTGATATCCCCATGCCTTTTTTTACATCACTTGTTACTCAGCCATCCTGATGCTTTTCAGGGGACTTTCTGAGCCCCAGGATAGAATTTCCTATCCCTCTTGTGACCTTTTCTGGTTCTCGTCATCACAAACATTAGCCTCCCAGTCCAGACTCCACAGTCCGGGGGCATTACAAACATAGAGGAAACCCTAGTAACTAAAGCCATCCAACAACAGACCAGGCTGCCTTGGGTGAAACAGATAATAAGTCCTCTGGCACCAGTGGTCTTCAAGTGGAGGCTGAATAAATGCTGGCTAAGGAGCAACCTGAAAAAAGTATTCATGTTTTAGGGTTGGACTAGATGCTTTCAGGTCCCCATCCAAGCCCAAGACACTGATTCATTCCATATCTTCTTCCCAACAGACCTGACAAAGGTTATTGTCACTCTCCCTATATCCCCCTAATGATGGGAGAGAGAACAGCTATTATAATTTGTTCCAGGAAGATAAAACTTTAGTAACTCTGGTTACAGGATCATAGGATTTAGAACTAGAAGGAACCTTACAGAATATCTAATACAACTCTCTCATTTTACAGAAAAGGAAGCTGATCCCCAGAAAAGTTACATAACCTGCCCAAGGTCACAAAATGGATATACCAGAGGCAGAATTCAAATCTAGGTCTTTCTTTCAAAAACACACTCAGTGCCCTTTTCTACTGTACTGTGTGTTAACAGCTTCCAGTTTTAAATCAAATCATTTGGATTACCAAGGAGCCCCATTAGTTGCATATCCTGATCCACGCTCTCAAGAGAAGTGTTACCTATGGCCAGTGTTGGCACAGAAAGCTTGGGGAGGAATGATGTGATGTGTCTGTACATGATATGATTACATTTTACAGTCACTGAGCCCTCTTTTCCCACTGGTCCCCAAGGCCAACAGCCTGCCCACTGGACACCTACCTGTGCCTTCCTGCAGAGCCCCACTCATCTTAGTATCGGAGTTCTTCACGAGTTCACAATCCTGCTTCTCTTCTCTATGTTTCTCCTCACTTCGCTTCTCCTTTTCTTTGTGCTTTTTGGATTTCTTCTTTGTTTTCATATGCCATGAGGCACAACTGTGTTTGCTGGTCTGGGGACAGTCTGTCAGCAGAGGGAGACTGAGGCTCTCAGAGGCCTCAGCATTCTCACAGTCTCTGCCATTGTGACATATATCATTGCTGACATCAGTGAGGGGGTCGTGAGGCTGGGGGAGCTCCAGGTCAGGGAGTTGGGAGCTAGAGCTGACCGAATTGGCCACGGAAGCTGGGCCGGGAGCAGAAGGGACTTCCTTCCCATTAGAAGAGTTCAGTTTCCCATTGAAAGTGGGCTGAGTTCTTTGAGTACAATGAGATATCCTCGGCTTCTTATTTGCTAGAGGGTCAATGAAATCCAGTGGCTGAGATCGTTTCTGAGAACAAAGAAAGTTTCTTTTTAAAAAAAAAATTGAGGATTTAATGGCGTAGTAGACCTTGAAGATAATGTTCCAGAAGGATTCCAACAGATTCTTATCAGCTCAAAGAATGTTAACTCAGGAAGGGACCTTAGGGAGATCTAATCTAATAGTTTCCAACCTTTTGGAGTATTTTTTAAACTCTCAAAAGATTCAGTGGACCATCCACCATGATAGCAGTTGATATTCATCTACTGACTGAAAAAATGCATGATGACAAAAAGCTACCACAAGTCTCAGTAACATTTTAAAATGAACTTGCATTTTAATAATAGCATACATTTGGAAAATAGTAATATCCACATGCATATTTGGCCTGCCAGAGGTATGTCTGTTTATTTGTCCTACAGTTATAGAATGAGATGGAGACCTTGGTGATCCTCAGTCTATAGTCTTCCTCCTCATCTAAGGATTAAAAGTGGAAGCCACTCTTTACTATTATTTTGGAGAATCCCTGCTTGCAAGTCTCCACAGAGCCACAAGGTGGCACTGTAACATAGTGTTGGCAGCTTAGAAACAGGAGGGCATTAGGGAGGATTCAACAGGTGCTCAGCACAGATGAACCAGCTCCACTACTACAGCTCAAAACTGTTACAGAATTATACTCTATCCTCACTTAACTGTCACCCTGTCACCACTGCCACAGATATGGACTGAGTGCTGACTGGGTCTCAAAGTACAGAGAGAAATCAGGTGAGAAATTGGTTTATGAAAAAACACTCCGGGGATCATTTGGTCTTCCCCCCTTCCCCATCTGCCCTTGCTTCCCCTCCAGATTCTGTCCACAATCTAAAGAAACTCTCCTGCCGGTGGGCAGGAGAGGATTGTGTCCTGAAGTACTGCTCCTGAGCACAGTTCAGATGGTAAGACCATACCTAGGCCTTTTCTGATCTGCGTAATGGCCAATGAGCTGGCTACTGGTGAAAAAGTGAGGGGATGGTAGTCCACACACCTGCGCTTGTTCATGAAAAGAACTGCTCAGAGAAAATATCTGCTCAGCAAATGGACAGCATGGGTTGGGTGAGGGTCACTCTCACAGACTAGAACACAAAATCACCCAAAAAGGAAAAGCAAGCTCTGCTCTGTCTTTGGGCAGTCACTTATCTCACAGCAGAGACCTCTGTGAGCACAGCTCAGCAAGATGGACAGACTCCTTGTCATTAATAAGCAGCCTTGCTGCTGAGGATGAGGTCAATACAAAGAAGATTCACTATGAATAGAAACTGAAAGAATTTATAACTGTTTCTCTTAGACTTAAAAAAAAAAAAGAAAACTTTCCCAAGTGTCTGAGTTTGAATGATTAGTTGTTTGAATATTGTTCGAATCTTCATCTTCACGAAGCACATCTGGATTTAAGAAATCTATTTCAAAGCAAAAGGAATCAGTGGCAAGAAGTCCCCATTTCCAGGACAATGTTTTCCCTACTGCTGGCCCCGAGGGACAAAGAGTGATCACAAGGACAAAGCTAATTTATCTCTGATCATACCACAAATCTGACTGCCAGGCACTCCCATGTCTAATGGAGGTGATGAGAAGGAATCCAACAATACCTTGGTGCCGCCTTATTCTGGGCTCCAGCTGGGAGAGAGCACAACATGAAAGTTCTCAGCATGACTGAGCTCTATCTAGACTGACATGAAGGCTTCAGAAGTGGCCTAACATCAATCAAGGGCACCTCAGTCCTTGGCACAGGCCCCAAGTTGTAACTCAGAGCTAGAATAAATCATCACAGTTAGGCCCACTTCTTCACTTTTACCAGCAAGAGCCTTCAAACACTGCTTGATGGGACGTCAAGAAGGGCAGCAGGACCAAAGGTCTAGCGCAACCTGCTACTATTCAAATCCATTTATGCAGGCGATGTGTTCTATGGGCTATGTGTTCTGCCTGGCTGGCCAGCACTGCCACACCCTTATGGATGAAGGGTGAATTCCTAGCCAGACGGAACCCAAATTCCACATGGGATGAACTGGGACAAAGGTACTACATGGATCCAATTTGGAAGAGAGCAATCAACTGTACACGAAAGGCTGATTACCTGCTCCTCCCAAAAGGGATCACATTAGATTAGGGGAAATGAATGAGTGTGCAAAGTTTGGGGATGAGAAGGGCAGAAAGGGGACCTGAAATTAGTTATCCAGGGTCTTTTGTCTATATGAGAAGACAGGAAACACCCCAGAAAAAGACCAACCAAAGAAATGCTAACCAAGGAAAGGAAAGCTCACAAGACAATCTCTACCTCATTTCAGGACCATATATATAAACACTAATGGGAAAGTTCCAGTCAGCTAGGACCGTGGCATGACTTGAACAAAAGACTAATTATTCACATCAACAGTGTCATCTGACCCTGGTCCAGTGGTCTTGCATCACAACTCATACACCGTCAGTAGTATGTGTTAAAAACAAACAAAAACAACCCTTATCAAGGAGGGTTGGGGAAGGTAATATCTGGTGTACAACAGAAGATCAACACTAATCCAAAAACTCTATTATCTAAAACTCTGTCAGCCTTTCTGTGTGTGAACAGTTGCAGACGCCAAGAAACTTCTTCCTGGCAGTCTGGCAAGCACCACAGAAATGATGTGTATTTTATAGCTACAAAGGATCTTTGAGATACTCTAGTCCACTCCTTAATTTTACAAGGGGAGGGTGGTGTTAGAGGGGAGCCCAAGCCTAGAGAGGGGAAGAGACGTGCTCGAAGTACAAAGCCAGCTCTTCAAGTTCAGATTTGGGAACAGCAAAATTTCTTTTCCTCCTCTCCCTTTGTTCCCCAGCAATAAATGCTAAGTTGACTGGAATAATATTAATTTTCCAAAGTGTTTTGTGTTCACCGTTCTGGGAACCAGCAGAAATTATCACCATTTTATAGACATAAACTAAGGGCAGGAGAAGCTGTCTAAGGTCACAAGTTAGTTAGTGGAATGAGAACTGAGCTCTTCCAGAATCCCTGCTCAGATCTTTGTAACAACATCAACAAAATATAACACAAAACTGAAACCTCAAGGCTGCCGGTGCTTCTGGTTAAAAAAAAAGGGAAGAAGATTATCTGTGGTTCTGGTAGATCTACAGTTTGCAAGACTTCCTCAGATCCTCTGACTCGAGTCTGGCAACAATGAGTGCTCAGGAGAGAACCTGGGTCACACATCATTCCTGGTTTCCATTCTTTGGATAGGGACCTTCTACTGAGAAAGGAGTCAAATTCATGACCAAGAAAATCCGGTACTACCACTGGGCTGACTTTCATTCCAATTCTTCCCTTTGCTACATCTAGTCTAAGCTCTTGCCAAACTGTATGACTCACCACACTCCCTGCTTTCTATTCTGCCCTCTCTAAAAGCATTTATGCCTTTGGCTTGTGCATCTGCTTGGAATGAACTGTCTATCTCATCACCACTGGCTTGGTACATCCATCCTTTCCTTCAAGATTCAATTTGGATGCCGCCTTTGACACTTTCCCTGGCCTACTCAGATAAAAGTAGCTTCTAATTTAGCTAATTTCTCTTCCAATTTCTCACAGCACTCTACCTTCTTCTCCTGTGTTCCTATCCCTTTATTTCCACTCTACTGGAAAACAGGATAGTGTCATGAAAAGAACAGTGGACTTGGGGTCAGAAAACCTAGAATCAAATCCAGAGCATGCCATTCAACAACTATGTGACTATCATAGCTACTTAGCCTTTTTAAAACTCACTTTCTCCATCTGTATAATGATGACTAAACTCAATTCAGCAAACATTTATCAAGTGCTTATTATAAGCAAGGATTGTAATGAGACAGGTAAAGAGAACAAAAGTAACTCTATTTTTACCATCAAGGTACTTATATAATAAAGGGAATTTTTTTTGCAAGGGAGAAAAGTGGTGGGGTGGGGCATTACTTTACAGAGTAAGTGGCAACAGAGCTAATTCTAAGAGGCAGAGATAAAGAGGAAGAGAATGCAATTGGAGAATGTGGGACTGCTTATGTGCATGATGGCATGGAGATGAAACAGCTAACAGTCTAATATAGCAGGAACAGAATATCTAAAAGGAAGTCCTATGAAATAAAGTTGGAGCCAGGCTATGGAGGCTGGAATGGTGCTATCCCTCCCAGAAAAACCTGGGAAACATTGCAGACTGTTAAACACAGTGGTGAAAATGGTCAAATGACAACACTACCGACAAAGGTCTGGCTCATAGGCCTGCTGGGTAATGAACTCTGTAAACTTTCACAACTATCAATGAACAAACATATATCAATGAACAAATAGGGCCTACTCTATGCCAGGCCCTGTGCTAGAAAAGGGGGCCAACAAAGCCTCTGAATTCCAGGAGCATGCTGATATTCTGTTGGGGGAGATGACATATTCAGCTATATAGAATACACTAACAAACATATAAAAATGCCAGATAAACACAAGCTAAACCGTTTTTTTGGAGGGGGAGAGGTACTAAAAGCTATGCAGATCAAGAAAGGTTCCAGGAAGATTTCATAGTGGCTGAAGTGAGTTTTGAAGGAAATGAGGGATTTTAAGAAGCAAGGTAAGGAGGTGAAAGAACCCTGGGTCTAAGGAGAGTCGTTGCCAAGGCACAGTGGTGGTCTGATGGAGTGGTGCTGTATGAGAGGAACAAGAAGTCGGACAGTTTGGCTAGACTGCACAGTTTGTGAAGTAGAATAACGTGTAATAAGGCTAGAAAGGTAGGTTAGTGCTAGTTGTGAAGTCTTTACCCTCCATCACTCTAGAGCAGTTCATAATCTGATTGTGGAGGTAACAAGGAGGGTACAGGGCAGGGACCTGGTTAGCCTTGTGCTAAAGAAACATACATCACTATCATATAAATATGAGACAAAGTTCTTTGAGCCCAAGAACCATTTCTATCATTTTTTTTCATTTCTGTCTCTCCTCAACTTCCAAGCTCCTTATCTCACACACAGTGATTACTTAATAAATGTTTATCTAATGTTACATGAATTTGGTTCTGCTGGGTTCTGTGGTCAAAAATGGGCCTGAGACTTGTGCTGAGACTGAGAGTTCAATTCAACATACGTTAATCAAGTACCTACTCTTGTGCAAAAGAAACAGAACAGAGTAGTGGACTGGACAAAGGGTAGGAACTGTAGGTTAAAGTCCTGTCTGAAACATACTAGCTACACGGTCATCTGCAAACATTCTTTCTCATCTGCCACATCCAATCTGTAGCCAAGGCCTGTCAATTTCACCTTCGCAGCATCCCTTGAATACACCCCCTTCTCTCCTCTGACACTGTCACCGTTCTAGAGTAGATCCTCATGTCTCTCCCCGTTCCAAACCACTCTCCACTCTGCTGGCAAATTTACAGAAGATCGTGTCATATCACCCCACTAAGTCATTAAACTCGAGTGGCTCCCTAGCACCCCTAGGATCACATCTAAAATGCTTTGTTTGGGGTTCAAAGCCCTTCACAGTCTCCAGGCTTAACTTGGGAGTTGCACCAGGCAAACTCTCTAAGTCACAGATAAAATTGGTGTGGATAATTTCCATAAAGAGAGTCGCCTAAACCTATGAAATTTTAAGTCTGGATGGGGAAAAAATATGAAACAAGGAACAGATTTTTTTTAAAAAGAAGTTATCCTTAAAAGGAGAAAAAAAAAAGCTAAAAGGCTAAAAGGCAAGTACCTACTTCAATGAACTTGATTAGTAGGATCATATTCATTATAGGCATATACTCTGTAAGTCCTAACAAGAAGCTCTAGAATCCACCAAGCCCAAACATGACCAGTGGCTGCTCCAGCTAACTGCGTTATTTCTCCTCCCCACTGAGCTACGAACTTCTTGAGAGAAGCAGAGCCTTATCTAACTCTGCATCTCTCTCAGCCCCAACGCAGGGATCCAGCCACACTAAGGGCTTAACACATCGGTGTTGAAGGGATAATTTTAGCACCATAGGATTCTGCTGATCCCTCAGTGTTTTCTACTTCAAACATCCAACTGTATCTAGTACAGCTTAAGCATTTCACTGCCATTGTGGCCAAAATCTCTGAAAACTGGTCATTATTTATACGACCATTCTGCCACTACGTTGGATCACAGTCACTGTAGTATATTCAAACTACACTAACAGTTCAATTAGCACAGATTGCTACAAATGAATTCAGATTTCACTTTCTGACACGACCTGACAAAGTTACTATTTTCAAAAGGTTTTCTAATTAAGGAAAGTACAAAGACTTCAAAAGTCCATGGGAAATCCTACACCAGAAATAATAGCTCACATTTATACAGAACTTTATAACAAAAATTAAAACGGTTTATATACATTATTTTTTGTGATCTTATGAGATCTATATTACATGAAATATTATTACCATTTTAGAGATAAGGAAACCGAGTCTTTGGAGAGATTAAATGACAATTTGTTCAAGGTCATCTAATCCAGGTGGTCTAGTTCCAAATCCAGTGCTCTTTACCATAACTACTTTACTTACACTTATAATTTAGTGTCTGAAGGTTTATGAAGCATTTTATATACAATACTGCTTAGGAGCCAGAGAAGATTAGTGACCACGTCACTCCCTCCTGGCTCTGGAGCTAACAGCTCTTTCTGAAGCTGACTCCAAATTCAGTCCTCCATTTTTCTCTAGCCCTTCAGGTCACCTACCTGAGGGGGTGATGAGGAATTCAAAGGGTCTTTCGGTGGTGGACTTGAGGAAGGTGTGTCTCCAGGAACACTACCTACGTTCTGTGGCTGACAGAGTTTCCTGAAAAGCAAAGTTATACATGGTTTAAAGAAAGCATCCCTCATCAGAAGGTAAGATGAGTTGAGTTTGAGCCTGGCCTTGATACATGCTGAAAGCTGAGGTTTCCTGAGTGCACAGGCTGACTGCCTATCTCTTAAGTCTAATTTTCCTGAATGATTACGAAGGAAAAAAACATACACCTCTGGACTCTGGCTAACTACTTTTAATTCAGTGTGGCTGAAGGAGAAATCAGGCATTGGGAGCAGGTGGTTTTTTGAAGCACTCAACAGACAATGAAAAAGCCTCTGGTTTGCTGGGGTCCTCCCAACACAGGGCCTGGGTCTGTGATTTCACTGACACAGGGAAAGCTCAGGTATGGAGATTCCCTCTACTAATGCAGACCAACACCTTTTCTGCACCTTACGAATCTTGAGACAAGTTAAGTGATTTGTTTGGGTGGTACAGCCAGTGCGTGTCACAACCCAGGTTGGCTTCCTGTCTCTGGGCCCAGCTCTCTAACCACCATGACACACTGCCTCTCTTGAGAATTGAGTGAATTAACATTGAACTCACACAACATTTAATTAACATTAACTAATCCAATACAACCAGATTAATAAATTCAAATCCTCACTCCTCTAGTTTAAATCTCTGGGCTTTTTAATGAAAGATCATGGAGGGATCTTTAAAGGAGAAGATCCAATGACAGGCGGACAGGTTAGTTCTCTTCTCCCATCATTCTAACCATATGGAAAGACTTCCTTGATCTGCCGAAACCACCATGTGGGGGGAAAAAAATCCGTTAATCATTACAATGATTTCTACAAATGATTTCTTCAAATTACAGGATGCACACAGAAAAGTTTTTAAGTTAGTAATATCGATGACCAATACCAGACATGCATCTTACCACAACAAGTGACAAAGCCTCTAATCTCTCTCCAAGGAAGTTTCTCCTGGTTCTAACATTCCATGTCCCTAAGGCCTGCCAGCTCTGACTCTGCACTTCAATGGAGCTAAATGGATGATCTGACTCATTTTCCACTGTACCAATGAAAATCTGCCCATGGCTTGTCAAACTTGCAGCCTTTTTGTCCACATCATTGCATAAATCCCTTCACAGGGAATCAACCTGATGTACTGGAGGCCTTTCTATGCTTCTCTTAATTTCTTCTTTATCTTCTGTTATTTTTCTTTTTGAGTACCACCAGTACAGAGTTTATTCTTCCCATGATGGCTTAACTTCCTGTCTGGCCAACTCTACCCCGGATGGTGGTTTGTCAACCTCTCCTCATGGCTGACAATACGCGGCACTCTCCTCAGATATTCTGTCTAAGTATCAGGTGCCTCTTTGGTAAAATTGAGAGCTTAGATTAGATGGCTCCTAAGCTCATTTCCATCTCTACAATATATCATAGTCTATGAGACTATGTAAAAGAAAAATCAAAGAAAAGAATAAGTCACTTTATAACAATTGATCTTAGTCCTGGGAGTGCCCAAAAAGGTAATGACAGACTAGACAAAAGGAAGGGTGCACACCCCTGTGCTACATTAGGAATACAAATTCTTAACATAATGCTATTACTCCTATAATAATGTACTTTAAATATTTAATATTTAAATTTTATTTAATTTTGAATTTAAATGTAATATTTAAATACTTTCAAATAGAGCTTTAAGGGTTTATAAGCTTTATATACATCATCTCATCATAAGATCCTCATTGCCTGAGGTTAGGTGCTAGAGGTATTGGTCTATCCATTTTATGGATGATGAGTCTGATGCTAGATTCAAATCTAAAGCTCCCTGACTCAAGCCTAGCACTCTACTCGCTTTCCTATGCTTCCTTAAGAAGTAAGAGCAGCAGGCATAAGAGAGGCAATGCGGCAGAATAAAAGGGTGTTGGGTTTTTTTCTAGTGATCTACAAGTGGCTTCACTTCAGCCTGTTCTATCACCCGTAAAATGAAGGGGCGAGACTAAATGTCAACAAAGTTGCTTCCAGCTCTGGTACTCAATCTGTATACGGATGGCTCTGAAACATGGAAAAAGGGCTTTGCAGCAAGGACCTAGAAATCACTAGATGAATAGCTCAGCTTCAGGAAGAGCAATGAAGCCCCTTTCTCCACTTCTGAAGCAAGTCTGTATTTGCACAGCAGAAAGATATCTTTTCAGGGTCCTATTTTGGGTTTATTGCCCTAAGTAAACGCCATGATTTCAGATGACAAAGTAAACATAGAAGAATCAACTTCTTTTTTTTTAAACCAGACAGACTGTGTGGACAGCTGTAATTTTCCAGTTAGGTTATAATTCAAGGCACTGGCTATGTTTAAATTAGTTACAACAGCCCAGTTTTCATTTTCCTAAGGATTGCCAAAGAGACTCTAACACTGCAAATGACGCTGGTCTATAACAGTGTCTCATCTCTCAGCCAAACTGTACTTTCAGATCATGGAAATTGTTCAAATACAAAGAACAGCATTCTGAGTTGGCCAAAAATCACGAGAAAAGTAAGCCTGGAGAAAGTAAAAAGTCAAATTTCCACCTGTCTAACACAGACACTTTAAATTGGTTCTTGCCGGGACTGAGAGAGAAAATACTGCCCTTGTGGCTGCAGATTCCCAGAAGCCTTTGCACTGACTACACTTGTCTGAAGTTCTTGGGCACAAGTCTCAGGTATTTTGTAACCAGAGGGAAGCTTTGCAACAGAGTGGGATCCTTTGTAAAGAAAGCCAGAGGCACACACAAAACCAATGCATACAAGATGAGGAGGAAAACAGAAAACTGGGAAAGAATTTTTATAACCAGTGTCTCTGATGAAGGCCTCATTTCTAAAATATATAGAGAACTGAGTCAAATTTATAAGAATACAAGTCATTCCCCAATTGATAAACGGTCAAAGGATATGAACAGGCAGTTTTCAGAGGAAGAAACTAAAGCTATCTATACTCATGTGAAAAAATGCTCTAAATCACTATTGATTAGAGAAATGCAAATCAAAATGACTCTGAGGTACCACATCACACCTATCAATTCGCTAACATGACAAAATAGGAAAATGATAAATTATGGAGAAAATGTGGGGAAACTGGAACATTAATGCATTGTGGGTGGACTTGTGAAGTGATCCAACCATTTTGAAGAGCCATTTGGAACTATGCGCAGAGGGCTATAAAATTGTGCATATCCTTTGACCCAGCAATAGCACTTCTAGGTCTGTATCCAAAAGAGATCATAAAAATGGGAAAAGAACCCACATGTACAAAAATATTTATAGCAGCTCTTTTTGTGGTGGCAAAGAACTGAAAATTGAGGGGATACCCATCAACTGGGGAATGGCTGAACAAGTTGTGATATATGAATGTAATGGAATACTATTCTGCTATAAGAAATGATGAGCAGGATGCTCTCAGAAAAACCTGGAAAGACTTATATGAACTGATGCAGAGTGAAATGAGCAGAACCGGGAGAACACTGTACACAGTAACAGCCACAATGTGTGATGACTAACTTTGATAGACTTGTCTCTTCTCAGCAATGCAAGGATCTAAGACAACTCCAAAACACTCACAATGGAAACTGCTATCCACATTCAGAGAAAGAACTATGGAGCCTGAATGCAGATGGAAACATACTATTTGCTCTCTTTTTCCTTTCTTGTTTTGTTTTATAGCTTCATTCTTGTGGTTCCTCCCATTAGTTCTAATTGCTCTTTACATCATGACTAATAAGAAAATATGCTTATAAGTAGAGACTATATCAGAACGCATGCCATCTTGGGGTGGGGGGAGTGGAAGGGGGAGAAAATTTAAAACTCAAAATCTTATGGAAGTGAATGTTTGAAAACTAAAAATAAATAAATTATCAAGGGAAAAATTTTAATTTAATTTAAAAAGCAGAAAAAAGAAAAAAGAAAGAAAACCTGAGGAAACTGTTGCATCCACAGCCCAGGCCTCTGCATACTCTCAGTCTAGTGGATCTCTTATTTACACCTCCACAGCAGTCAGTCATCCAGGTTGTTTCTGGGCCCTTTCTCCTGGCCCCTCTTTAGGACAGCAGTTTGTTAAGAACTACTTTCTCAGAATGAACCAAAACTTGCTTTCCTGTCCTGCCCACTGTTCCCTATCACTTGCAAACTGACAAACCCTTCCCCCAATTTGGTAACAAAGCAAAAGTCTAAATAAATGATCTGCCTTGTGATCCAGAATTCAGATGGAAACAATGGCAAAGTGAGGCCTTGGTCTTGTTTGAATAAGAGAGGCTACTCCAAGTTCTGGTTCTGCTGGGCCATTTTACTCCTATTTAAAAAAACCAGTCAATGTCATACCATTTGAGAAAGCTCACTTAAACATCTCAGGGAAGTCAAAAGATGCATGACTGTCAAAAGTCTACTAAGAAAGTAAAAGAGGGAGGGGAGGGAGGGAATAAGCACTTACAGTGGGCCTACTCTGTGTCAGATATAGTGCTACATGCTTTTTTATAATTATTTTCTCATCTGATCTTGACAACAATCCTGGGAAGGAGCTGCTGTTATTATCCCCATTTGGCAGGTGAGGAAACTGAGGCAGATAGCAGTTAAAGGGCTTGCTCAGGATCCCAAAGATAGTGAGTGTCTGAGGCTGATCAGGCGTGGTGCTCTGTCCCCTGAGCCACCAGAAGCTTCAAAATGAGAAAACTGACCACAAATGCATTATACGGTTTACAAAGCATTTTCCCATAGATCTCATTTAAACCTTACAACAACTCAATGGGATAATTCTGCATTCTACAAATGGGAAAAGTGAAGCTTAAATAAGGCATGTGACTTATCCAAGGTTACATATTCAGTAAGTATGGAAGTCAAATCTATGTCTTCTAAACCAGGGATCCCCCTCTACCTAGCTCCTCTTCATGGCTGTGTGTGTGTGTGTGTGTGTGTGTGTGTTGGGGGGGAGGTACACACGCAGATATTTACAAATATATAGTTCTCACTTTATGCAAAGTCCATTACATATATTCACCTTTACATAAGGAATTCTGAAAGAAATCTGCATTCCAAAAAAAAAAAAACCACCTACATAAACACTTTACTATACAGTACTATGCTCTCTATCCTCACTTCTTCCCCTTGGCTCACCACTTCATGGCCTCTCAACCCCCCACCAAAAACCAAACAAACAAACAAAAAAAACCCCCCAAACCTTCCAAGTTAAAGCAGAAGAATGGACCTGGGGAAAGACCATCATCACCACTGGATCCTGGCTTGACACCTCCAGGTAGGAGAGAGGAAACCTACCCACCTACCTTCACATCCATCTTCCCTCTGTGTTTGTCTCCAGGCCCCACAGGTCCTCCACCTTCTCCTGTCTGTGTCCATGTTCAGCCCCAACATGTCTGCCTACTATGGGTTCTTCCTCTTGGTTCTGGCCAAGCCCCTAAGTGCTCTTGCTTCTCGGTCCCCAGTCCCACCCACATTCTTGTACCATGTGCCAGCACTTTTCCTGCCTCCCTTTCAGGCAAATTCAACATTACAAAAGGTCCACTTACATAGAGCGAGAACTATCCATACTGAATATCCCTGCCAACTATTCCTTACATACACAAAAAAAACTTGATTCCAAGTCAGCTTTCAGTAGGGCTGAACAGAATTTAACCAGAAAATGTAAAAATTCACAAGGAATGATAAACAAAGATCTCATCCTTCCTGCTCTAAAACAGCAGCAGCAAACACTATATTTGCTTAATAGAGGACCCAAAGAAATGGGTTCATCCTGAGCAACCCATTAACTTTCATTAGAAACAACTACTGCCTGAAATAGTGGAACAAAGTATTCTGAACAGTTTCCTAGGCTGCCAAATTATTTTCCTTCTCTAACCCCTTGATGGTAAAATGGGGACAATAATACTTACACTCATGACCTCAGTAGATGCTTGGAAGAAAATCCCTCTGTGAACTGTTAGCAATAGAGAGATATACCTGCTCATGCAAAGGAGGGGATTAAAGAGGATGGTAAGCGTCCATCATTTTAGACTGATGGGGCTGGCTATGTCCAGGAGATGCCCAGGTCATTAACACCCTCAGGCAGTTCTTTTCCCCTTTGTGCAGGTAGCAGGGGCAGCACCCTCAAGGGAGCGATGGAAGGTGCCCCCCCCCCCCCTCAAATTCTGCCGGCTCAGCAACTTTCTGTTGACTTCTGACATGAATACAAACATCACAGCCTGGGCCCAGGCCTCTGAAGCCAGCATTTTGCCTACCTCCTCAGATCTAAATTAAATCAAATCTCATTTAAACAGCCAGCACGTGGCCTATGCATTTGAGATTCTGCTCCACACAAAGGTGCAGGTAACTGAGGAGCACATGCAGAATCTGGTGAGGGCACAGTTCACATGACAGCTCTGTGAGGGCTGAGGAGGTAGGAGTAAGCCTACATAGTCAAGAGACGATGACACATTATTTGAGTTACCTAACAAGAATTCTTTTTAGTAACTGCTGATCTCCTTCTGAGTATCCACGCCAGTCCTTCTGAATATCCTTGTACATGCAATCTTTTAATGTGTATGTGCTGTCCTTGGCACTCAAGTTGGCAACCTAGAAAAACAGAAGCACTCAGTCAGATGAATGAGAGGCAAGGAGGGAGGAAGGAGGAGGGGAAACTTCAATAGGAAATCACAAAATCTTGGGGATCATCTAGCCCAACCTAACTCATTTTCTAGAAAAGGAAAGTAAGGCCCATACTGAGACATACAACACCTAGAGAAACCTCTACAATGTCACTCTCCACTCCTCATTCTCTCCTACACCCTCCTCTCCATTATCCATATCCGATGAATGGTCAGCTCCTGTCAATTCTACCTTTGTAACAGCTCTCACACACACCCCCTTCTGTCCTCTGACACTGCCACCACCTAGGTTCAAGCACCTCACACCTGGCACTGGTACACAGGCCTGCTGGCTGGTCTGCCTACTTCCAGTCCATCCTCCACCCAGCTGTCAAAGTGCTCTTCCTTAACCACAGGTGCAACCATGCCACACTCAGTAAACCTCAGTGGGCTCCCTTATTACCTCTAGGCCAAATATAAAATCCTCTGGGCTTTATGCTCGAATTCCTTCCGAACTTGGTCCCCTCCACCCCTTTCCAAGCTTTCTATACCTTACTCACCCCCATACACTCTGGAATCCAGGGACACTGGCTTCCTCAGTGTTCTTCACATAAGACATGGCATCTCCCATGTTCACTTGCTGTCCCTCACAGCTGAATACTCTTCCTCTTCATCTCTGCCTTCTGGTCAACTTGATTTCCTTCAAAGTTCCAGCTAAAATCCAACTTTCTATGAGTTTTTCCCAATACTGATGATCTTTTCCCCAAACCCCTCTCTTTCGAAGCTTCCCTATTACTGTAGAAGACAACACCAGCCATGCAGGCTCACAACCCAGGGCGTCATCCTCAACACCCCCACATCCAGTACACATCCTAGCCTTGCTATCTTTGTAACATCTCTCAAATACTCCCTTCTCTCTACTGACCCTGACACCACTCTAGTGCAGGCCGTCATCAGCCTGGACTCTTGCCTGCTGGTGAGTAGTCCTGTCTCAAGCCTCTCCTTGGTCCATCCTCCACTCAGTTGCCAAGGTAATTTTCCCAAAATGAATTTCTCACCACACCACACCACACACACTACCCCCCAGATTCAATAAACTCCAGTGGCTCCCTATCACCTCCAGGATCAAACAGATATACTCTGGTGTTCAAAGTCCTTCATAATCTGTATTCTGCCCTCTCCACCTCCCTACAGACGGCAATCCAGTGATGCTGGCCTCTCAGCGCCCTTCATACAAGCCCCTGTCTCATGGCTTTGGGCATTCTTGCTGGCTGTCTTCCACGCCTGGAATGCTCTCCCTCTCGTCTTCCCCGGCTTTATTCACGTCCCAGTTAAAATTCCATCTTCTACAAGAAGCTTTCTCCAATCCCCTTAATCTGTATCTTTCTTCCCTCTGTTGATTTTTTTCCAACTTATCCTGTATGTAGCTTGTTTCTATATAGTTTTTTGTATGTTGTCTCCCCTGTTAGCCTGGGAGCACCTCATGAGCACTCAGTCATTTGATAAACATTTATTAAGTGCCTATTATGTCTGTGTGGTGGGCAAAAAAAGCAAAAGACAATTCCTACCCTCAAGACAAAGTGGTAATTAGGTGGCACCACAGTGCACAGAGTGCTGGGCATGGAGTCAGAAGACCTGAATTCAAATCTAGCCTCAGACACACACTAGCTGTATATCCTTGGACAAGTCACTTAGCCTGTTTGCCTCAGTTTTATCATCTGTAAAATGGGGATAATAGCAGCACCCATCACCCAGGGCTGTTAAAAAAGATCAAATAAGATAATATTATTTGCAAAGCGATTAGCACAGTACCTGACATGTAGTAAGTACTATTCAAATGTTAGCTATTATTATTATTATTACTAGAAAAACAGAAAATAATTAAAAGAGAGAAGGCACTACCAGACTTAAGAGGGGTAGGGGAAGGCTTCCTGTAGAAGATGGAATTTTAGTTGGGACTTAAAGGAAGCCAGCAAAGCCAGGAGGAAGCGTGTTCCAAGCACGGGGGACACAGACCAAAAGCCTGGGCCAAGAGACGGAGGGTCCTGTTCATGCAACAGCCAGGAGACCAGTGTCACTGAACAACAGTACAAGCTGGGGAGGGGACAGAAGACTGGAAAGGTTGGCTGGAGCGAGGTTATAAAGGGCTTTGAATGCCAGAAAGAGCATTCTATATTTGATCCTGGAGGCTACAGGGAGCCACTGGAATTTACTGAGTGGGGTAGAGAGGACATGGTCAGACCTGCAGAGCAGAGACTGTGTTTTGCCTTTCTCTGTATCCCCAGTACTTAGCATAGTTCCTAGTACATACACCAGGTGCTTAATCAATGCTTACTGAGTTTCAGTTAATAACACACTTTCCTCATAATTCCACAAAGCAAGTAACACATTATAAAGATGAAGAAACTGAGACCTACAGAAGTTAAATGGTTGGCTTAAGGTTCCTGTACAAGGCAATGGGAAGGAAGAGTCCCCGAAAGTCTCCAGATGTCTACAGCACAGCAAGGGCCTCATCTGTTTCTGAAGGACATGTCCCGCATTTTCAGTGACTAGCTTCTGTCCCACTACAATTTCTTGGAGTGGAGGCCTATGGGCAGAAAAGGCTGTCCCGTTCAGAATTCAAGTAAGCATCTTAAATTAAATATTCTGGGAGAGACAAGTTAACATTTCTAATCAAGGCTGTCCAATGTCCAGGCAGATCTGGCCACCACAGCAGCAATAAGAAAAGAGATCACAATTTCAGAAGACCCACTTTCTCCCTGATATTAATCTGAGAATCTGTGGAAAGATAAATAACAAATGCATAGAAGTCTTTGGGGGATATTTCTGCTTAACTGAGTATTTTGATGTTGTTGACTAAGACACAACCATAGAATGTAGAAGGCATTTGCCTTTCTGGCTGATGCAAAAGCAAACAAAGTACTGCCATAATAGCTATTGTGGAGAAAAAAGAAAGGCCAGGGGTACCCCAAGACTGAGAATTTAATCAGTAACAGAAAGACTCCCCAGTCCAAAAGGGACTTTTTTTCTGTTGTATCTCCAACATTCTACTACTATTCTGTGACTACTCTGTCATAGGAATCACAGCATGCTAGCTGGAACAGGCTTCAGAAATGAGTGTGCTAATATAACTTCCTCATTTTAAGAGAAGAAGAAATTGAGGCTGCAAATAAAGAAGTGATTCAACCAAGACCAGAAAGGTGATACAGAGCAGAGTCAGGGTCTTGCATTTGTTTTTTAAAAGTAGACACTTTGGGGCAGCTAGGTGGCCAGTAGATAGAGCTCCACCCTGGAGTCAGGAGGACCTGAGTCCACATCCAGCCTCAAACACTTGACACTTCCTAGCTGTGTGACCCTGGGCAAGTCACTTCACCCCGATTGCCCCAAAAAAGGTAGCTGCTTCAGTGTCAGCCAGCCAGCAAGGTTTTTCCTATGCTGAGTGATCCCTTTCAGAGATTCTTCTAAGGACTGCCAAGGCTCAAGGGACACTGATCAAGGAGGCAGCTTGTATTTAGCTTCCAGTGACCAGCACAGGGCCTCCACACTCCCTACCCCATCACGGCTCTGCTAGTGTGGCCCCGACTTTCTCACCCAGAAGAGAAGTGGGCTCAGGGATCACGTTGTCTGACCCCCTCCTGTTACAGAATGAGGCACCAGCCCAGAAAAAGTAAGGGCCTCATCCTGGGTCGAACAGTCGGGAAGGAGCGGAGAGGACCTCTGAATTATGTCCAGCTCTGACAACCCAGGTCCTCAAGTCCTTTCAGGCTCAGACATCCTAGGATTCTAAGTCTCAATTCCAAAAAACCTTCCCTGACAATCACAGCCCACGCTGATGCCCCTTTTTTTCTGAATCTCTATGACATTCCCTCTCTGCCACATCTTTTAGAAGATGCTAGATACTTAAGGTAATAATGTGGTATTGACTCCCAAATATATAAGACCCTTGAAAATGGATATCATGTAAATATTTACACATGCAATTGCTGGTCTATTACAATGTTTTTCTAAGACTAAGTAAGAAATCTGCCTTTCAGGAAAGTGTTACAGATATGACGATTTGGGATTCCTTGGAAAATAACCACAACAAATACCTTTTGGCTATGGAAGATATTATGCAACTATACCTTCAATTCTTAAACAACTAAATTCTTATTTTAAGAATATTTCATAAGATACAAAACAAGCCTGAGCCAATGCTAGATTTGTTTTGTTTCACTAGACATGTCACAAGGTTTTTTCTTTTTAAATTTTGGAGCAGTCAGTGAGAGAAAGGTGCTTGCAACAGAGTAGCAAAAAAAAAGTAAGAAATTATTTTATTTGGTGTTTGTTAAGTTCCAAATAAAAACATATTTTTTTAAAAAAATGATGATTTATTTCACCAACTAAAGCCCAATTAGCTAAAAGATTATTTTCTATTAACAGATAAAAAAGTGCGGTATAGGTAGATGGGGGGGTGAGAGTGTGTGTGTGTGTGTGTGTGTGTGTGTGCGTGTCACTGCCCTCCATGATAGGTACCATCTGCCTTTCTTCCCTTTTTTCACCCCTCTACCACGTCCTCTCCATCCCTTCCTCCCGTCCTCCTTTCCTCTGTGAGGAGCCTCATCACCCCTTCTCCCACTGCTCCTCCCTCCTTAAAGATGCCCCCTAGCCCTTCTTCCCCTCTCCCCAAGCCTGACATCAGAGCTCCAACAGTACTGTCTCTTTCTTGTCTACTTAAGATTCTATTTCCTATCAGAGTAATTAATTAGTATTATGTACCATACCCATCAGATAAGGGAGTGTGTCTTTTGTATTTCTGGATTCCCACCAAACTGCTCTATACACAGCAGCAGCAGCAGCAGCACGAGAAGTGTTTGGAACTAAAAGGAAGCCCAGAGTCCACTGGAGTTAACATTTGAACCCAGGTCCTCTGATTCCTGACCCAATGTCCTTTCACCTTCACTGCCATACTTCTATAGAGCCAGTAACAAAATAAGTGGCAAGTGACTCCCAACTTCTCAAGAGCCTCTTGGGATCACAAACTGAGAGCTGGCGAGAACTACTGAAGCTATCAACTAGTATAACTGCTGCATTTTATAGATGAGGAAACTGAGGCCCAGAAGAGTTCAGGTAATAATAAGCGGCAAGGTTTGGGCCCAGGTCTTGTGACTGGGGAACCCATGCTCTTTATATTGTCCTGGGCTATCTCTTAAAGGCCACAAGAAGAAGAAGGATCTGGGTTCAAATTCTGTCTCTTCCATGCTCTTTATGTGTGGTCACAGATTGCTTAGCCCCTCTGAGGCTCTGCACCAAGCAGCGCAGTCTCCCAGATTCTCAACGGAATGACGTGTACACAGAGCAGTAAAAAAGGCAACTGGAAATGACAGGAAGATGCTGACAGAAGTGCTTTCCTTTGTAAGAGTTACAGTCTTGTAAGGGAAGTACAGAATGGAAATAACCACGGTACACATCAAAGCAAACTAAAGTTCAGGAAAAGGGGAACCCTGTTAAATGTGAAATTTAATAACTGGACATCTTATCGAAGGGAAGAGTAGGAAGCTGAAACAACCACCACCACCCTCAACTGAAATGACCAAGGCAGGAAATAAAAGGTGGGACGAATACCATTCTATAACATACATCCCAAATACTGTTCTTCTCATCACTGGGTATGTGGGGGGCCTTAAACATCAGGCCTCAAGCCAGAAAACAGTATGTTCACAGTCCTTAGCAGCCAAACTAGGGAGGCAGCTCTAATTGTCAGACAGCCTTTCCTCTGAACTGTGGGAGTTAACAAGCATTCTGGACATACGACAAGAGTCTTGTTAGTATTCTACGAAAGAATCACCATCCAGCCTGCTTTATACTGATCCTAATGAATCCAAAGAGACACTGACTTCTTAAATCTGTTTCAATCCCTAACGATGGAACTTTCAAGTGAGTTACAGATCTCAGAGATGAAACACTGAGAAAAGTCTGTTCCACCATCCCTATCCCATCCCAACTACAACGTTCCTGCCAACACTAACTGTAACCAGAAGCTCGTCTGTTATCCCAGTCACATGAAATGGTGAGACCTGGCCAGCCAGGCCATTTTCAGAGAAGTCAGGTGATACCACAGCCATCCATAGACTGGACAGACCTGCTCCACACAACACACACCTGCTGCAAGAGGCTGTCCAGCATGTCCTTGTCCTGCTGCAAAAGGCCATCCTTTTGCAACCTCAGGATCAGCTCGGGTTTCCTGTAAGGCTTAAGTGCCAGTAAATGAATGACCCTGTCTCTGAAGGGTTGCTGAGAAATCCCACTATTGCTCTTCTTGATGGCATTGGCAACGTTGACTGGCGTTGAGCGCTTCCTTGAGGGAACAGTGTCTGCAGCGGCCGGGGCTGGCTTCCGGAACTGAACCTTTTTGCCTAAAATGAGATTAAACTCAGTTAAATTCAGTGGCGTTTGTGGGTAGTTGAAAGAGCGCTGGCTTTGAGGTCAGGTGACATGGATTCAAACAACAATGCTATTTTACCACTAGTGCAGATTTTCTCATCATTAATGTAGAGGAGCTGGGTCAGCTGATCTAAAGTCCCTCCCAACTCTGAATCTCATGAGTCTAGAAGTTGAGGGAAGAAGAGGCAATGTTTTGATCACTTGAAAAAAATACCACAGTTTTTCAACCATTCAGATAAGAAACAGAAATGGTGTTAGCAGAAAGATACATCATTTGAAATTTCTCACGTACCCATCAGCAACAAATGCAGCCAAAACACACCCCTCACACTAACGTTTTCCACCTTATCTCACGCTACTCCCCACTGTGTTCTATAATAGTGATAGTTAGCATTTATAGAGAACTTCTAAGGTTCACAAAACACCCTGACATATGTTAACTGATCTGATCCTCGCAACCACCCTGTGAGGTAGGTGCTATTACTCCCACTTTATGGATGAGGAAACTGAAGCAGGCAGAAGTTAAGTGACATGTCCAGGGTCACACAATTAAGTATCTGAGGATGAATTTGAACTCAGGTTTTCCTAACCACAAGTCTAGGGATATAGCCACTACACCACCTAGCTGCCTCCACAACTGAATCATTTTGGACTACTTAACAAACCAAAACATCCCATCAGTTTCCAAGTTCCATCTATGTCTTCCCTCATCCTCTTTCCAATTCCTCCCTAATGAAGCTTTTCTAGATCTCCCAACAGGAAGTGATCTCTCCCTCATCTGACCTCAGAGCAATCCGGAATCCCATCAAGAACAGAAAGTCTAAACTGCCTCCTAGTCACTTCCTCATGTGAACCTAAGGAGAGCAAATCCCCCCTCTTCCCCTCCCTGGGTGCCAAGCACTCTAAATTACACACAGTGATCAGCGTTTGTTGAATGGAACAAGATGAAATTTCCAGTAACTATTAAGAGCAGAGATTGCTGCCCCACCCCACCTTCACTTAACAGCTTTACACCTGTCCTATGGGATAAGTTGTGTTTCTTTCATGAAAAAAGAGGAGTAAATAAAAGTGTCAGAACAACTCCAGATGACTTGTCAGGAAGCCTCAAGGGTTTCCCAAGTTCCCCAGCTGCTGCTTTCAGCCAAACTGCTGCTCCCACAGATGTTGCTCTACTCAGAACAATGGGAATTAAGCACGTTTGATTTCTTCCACCTTACTAGCTAATATAAAGACCAATGTAGTTTAAACAAAATTGCAGTTTTGAAGTGAGGGCCATTTTAAATTTAAACAAGTAACTATGATGTTGTGAACAATCCTACTTAAGTAAGGAGGCAATGAAATACAGTGGAAAGAACACTGGCCCAGATATCAGAAGATCCATGGTCTTGACCACCCTGGATATCACTAAGGGAGAAGGGTAGGAAATAATTATTTATTAAGTGCCCATTATCTTCCACACACTGTGCTAAGTACTTTACAAATATCTCATTTGATCCTCACAAAAACCTTGTGAAGTAGGTACTGTTATCACCATTTTATAGATGAGAAAACTGAGACAAACAGAGGTTAAGTGACTTGACCAGAGCCTATAAGTGTCTGAGACTAGATTTGAACTCCGCTCTTCTAGACTCCAGGCCTATGGCTCTAACCACCGCCTTAACTTCCTGTCTGACCTTAGGCAAGTCTTTTAGTACTTCTGAGCCTCAGTTTCCTTATCTGTATAACCTAGGGGCTGGGCGAGGTGACCTCAAAATTTTCTTTTGAAGTCCAGAAGTCCTTGTTCTTTCTTACCTATTTTCTTTCAAATTATCTTTTCTTTTTCAGATGAACATATAAAAACACACAAGAAGCTCCTCTGGAATCATGCGAATCTGCTCCCCAAAGATTCTAGGATGCCTGTATTAGATCACTCTATGACTTGACTTCTTTCCCCAAAGGTCCCTTACAGAATTTGAGTTCGAAAACAATGGTAAGAGAAATCTCCAGCCCCCATCTTTGGCAGTTTGGTGACAACGAGGAAGGAAGGAAGGAGAAGAACCGCTAAGTGGTCTCTGTGACAACTCCAATGTGCCTATAAACATTTTCATATGACTGGCAGATTCCACTTGAGTACAAAGAGCCGGCGTTCTGGCGCCGTGAGTGCAGCCTGTTGTCAAGCTGCTCCTTTGTTCCTGGATAAATCTTTCACGTCTGTGGGCAGGGTCCAATGCTTGGGGCTGCCACAGGAGAGGCAATGATAACTAAGACACAGTCCCTGGAGGAACCTAGTAAGGGACACAGACTACAGACACTGGTAAATTACCAGGGAAAGGAGAATCAGCACACACAACAAACACCAAGTGCTTCCGAGATCAGGTGAGGAGGGTCCAGTTCAGCCAAGGAGACCAAAGGCCCAGAAGCTTGGCAATTAATTCCACGTTTATTTCTTTTAAGTCTTTCCATCACTGAAGTCAGATCCTAGTCTCTCTTAAAAACCAAGAACGTCCAAACAAGCACTGGAAGACCGTGGGCACTGTCTCTGGTTTGAAGAATCACCATTTGAGAAGGACCTTGATCAACTAGAGGGTGTCCAAAGGAGGGAAATCACAGTGTTGAAGGAACCTTGGGTCCAGGGAGAACTGGGAAGGTGGAGCATTTGCCTTCCCTTTGTTGATTATTTCCAATTTATCTAGTATATAGCTTGTCTGCATCATCTCCCCCATTAGATTTTAGACTCCTCAAAGGCAGGGACTATCTTTCGCTCCTTTTTAATTCCCAGCATTTAGCACAGTGCCTGCCACATAGTGGACACTTAATAAATGCTTACTGACTGACTACTAAGAAAGAGAAGTTTCAAGAGAGGTGTGACAGCAATGATCAAGGATTTGAAAGGCTGTCATGTGGAAAGTGATTCGACTGCTTCGGTTTGGTTCCAGAAAGCAGAACCAGAGCTGATAGAAAAAGTTGCAAAGAGGCCAAATTAGGCTTGATGTCAAGAAGGACTTCCTGACATTCAGAGTTGTCCCCAGACGAAGTAGGCTCCCCCTCCCTGGATCACGTAAAGAAGAGGCTGGACAGTCACTGGTCATCTATAGTAGGAATTCCTTTCATATGTAAGGTCAACTAGATGGTTGTTGAGGCCCCTTCCAATGCCTGAAAACCTGTGTTTCACACTGTAATCCTCAAAAGCACCAGATAAACGTAAATCACCTTTGTTATCTTGACCCATGTATAATACAGACAGCAAGTCATCCAGGCAGCTCATTAACACTAGTGAAGAGCAATCTGCCATTTGCATTTCAGAAGGCCTGTTCTTCCCAGCAGTCCCCTGCTCTGATGCTCTCTTAGGGCGAGACAAATCCATGCAAATATTCTGGGCCTTAAGCTCCCAAAGGGTACCAGACAGGCTGTCCCTGGATCTTCCCAAAGTTCAGCAGTCTCCCCCCAGCAGGTCCTTGGCTTCCCAAGGCTCCTTCTCGGGCTGCTTTCTTCCCCCCTCACCATAGGTCCTGGAGAAAACTCCATGTCTATAAACAGGACTGGCCAGAGCAGGAAGCGCCAGCCAAACCCTGAAGAGCACCCTGCACTGCCCTGTATGGACTCTCACGCTAATCACACACACCACTGCGATGTGCTGGGCCAGGGCTTTTCTCATTTTGTCGGTTAGTTCTGAGAAAGGGAAGTTGAGAATTGTAACCTTTACACTTTTGTGACTAAGAAAATCCCATTATTTTCTCCTTTCTCATGCCCAGAAGTTTCCTGTTTTAGTTGATCTACTTAACTGTTTTTCATTAACACCCCAAACAATCTTCTTTTACATGCTGTCATACTCAGTTTCTAGCAGTAAGCGTAGCAGAATCATGTAACAAAATGGATTCAATGATTTCTAAGATTTCTTTCCACACTAAGATACTGCAAGTCTATGGGAAAAGAAGGGATCTTAGAAAGTCTTGTTCTGGAGGTAGCACGATAATAGCTACATAGTGGCTAAAGGTCACCCTTGGGTCAGGAGGACTTGGGTTAAAATCCTACCTTTGACACATAACGAGGTGGATGTCTTTGGGCAAGTTATTCAACTTTTTAGGGCCCCAGGCAACTCTAGAAGAGTCACTGTAAGATTTGGTGACAACAAACTGGCTCTACAAAGTGAGCCAGAGTAAGAAGATGCTGTGCACCTGAGGGACTGAGAAGACAGTGGTACCCTGGACAGCAAACAAGCATTCATCAGCCCTTCCTATAGTCCAGGTACTGGGCTATGTGCTGAGGATAAAAGTAAAAGTAAAAACAGTTGTTGCTTTCAAAGAACTCACAGCCTAATGGAGACTAACACAAAAATAACTAGAAGCATATCCACAGAGTAGATGAAGATGGAAGCACCAGCAGCTGGGGGCACAGGGAAGGGCATCCTCAAGAAGGGGGTACTTGAGGGAAGCCAGGGAAACAAAGGGATGGAAGTGAGGAGGCAGAGTGTTCCAAGAATGGGGGACAGCCAGTGCCAAGGCATGGAGTCGGAAAGATGGAGTATCATGTATAAAAATTATATGTACAAAAATTAAGGACACTGGAAAGGCAGGAATGGGCTAGGTGATGAAGACCTTTAAATATCCAATAGAAGAGTTTATAGTTGATCTGGAATAGTGGGGAGTCCCTCGAGTTCAGTGAGTAGAGGGTGACATGAGCAGATCTGTGTTTTAGAAAAATCACTTTGGCAGCTAAATGAGAAGGATGGTCTGGCTTGAGGAGGGACTCAAGGTCAGAGGAGCAGTTAGAAGACTACTATAACAGTTTAGGGCCTAAACTGGGGTTGTGGTTGTGTAAGTGGTGAGAAAGGAAGGTAAACTAGAAATACCGTGAGCTAGATGGAGACAGATTTAGTCACTAACTAGATATGTGGGGTAAGTCTGAGCGAGGAGGATGACACCAACATTCTGAGCTTGGGTAAATGGGAGGATGGTAGTGTCAGGAACAGGAAAATTCAGGAGGAAGAATTTTG